TCTTCAAAGATATCAAAATATTGAGTATAGGGTAAGACTGAATATATATATATATATATATATATATATATATATATATATATATATAATTCATTTAAAARGTCTATAAGCATTCTATACACAGTTGAAGGTTTAATGACATTTATTTTGGCCTTATGTAACGGAGAGTCAAAGTTCATTTTGTAATGTATTTATGATAGAATCAAGAAAGAAAAATAAAATACATACGAAAGGAGATATGTAAATAAGAGGACTTAGAACCAATGTCTTTGTTGTTGTTGTTGTTGTTGTTTTGTTTTGTTTTGTTTTGTTTTGTTTTGTTTTGTACCAGGGATTGAACTCAAGAGCCACTTAACCACTGAGCCACATCCCCAGCCCTTTTTTTTGTATTTTATTTAAAGACAGGGTCTTGCTTAGTTGCTTAGGGCCTCACTAAATTGCTGAGGCTGGTCTTGAACTTGCAGTCCTCTTGCCTCAGCCTCCCAAGTGGCTGGGATTACAGGTGTGCCCCACCACACCCAATGTACCAATGTCTTTAGAAACTCATCAACTATTTTTGATAACACTCCTGTTAGAACAATGCAGTTGGAACTGTGTGGGGAGTCAGTTGATTGGGGAAACAACAGTGAATAAAGATATTTGCCTTTGTTTAAGACTTGAAGTGGGTTATAATTGGGAGGAGTTTCTCCCCAGCTGATTCCTCTCATGAGGATCCCTGTGAAGTGTGTGTAAAATAGAGTGTCATCTTTGGTGGCTGTGTGGATACATTACTCAGTTAAGAAACAAGACCTTGACATCCTTGATGCCGGCTCCTGCTGTCCCATGCTGAGAAATTGTGTGCTTTTCAGACCAGAGAGAATCTTGTGGTTTGGAATTCTTTAGGGCAGTTATAATCATTTGGTCTTCTATCTGAAACAAATCAATAATAGAAGAGTAGATTCAAGACTACCAGCGTCCACATCAGGTATGGTTAGCTCTAAAATGTAAACTGTGAGAAGTATTTTTTTTAAGTTGTGAAATGTCATGTACAAATTTTCATTCTGTATTTATGTAATGAAAGTCATCCTCTACCTTGGACTTAAAGAGAAACCACCCTTGTGTATGAAAATCAGTTTTAAGTATTTTTTAAATCAACAAATAAAATTGTATATATTTACAGTGTACAACAAGGTATTTTGATATATGTATATACTGTGGAACAATTAAATCCAGCTAATTAATCTATCCACCATCTAACCCAGTTACTTTTTTGTTGTTGTTGAGGTGAAAAATTTACTATTCTCTTGGCAGTTTTCAAGTACACATTATAACAACTGTTGTCACACACAATACAAYAGATCTCTAAAACTTATATCTCCTAACAAACTTTTCATGCATTGACCAACATCATTCTACTCTCTGCTTTTGTAATTTCAGCATTTTTACATTCCACACATAAGCAAGATCATGCACCATTTGTCTGTTTGTGCCTGGCTTATGTTATGTAGTATAATGTGCCTACAGTTCATCCATGTTGCCACAAATAACAGAATTCCATTTCTTAAGGTTAATTAGCATCCCAAGTGTATATATGTCACATTTTCCTTATCCATTACTCCATTGGTAAACACTTAAGATGATTACATATCTTGGCTGTTGTGAATATGTTGCGATGAGCATGGAGCGTAGAGATCTCTTCAACATACTAATTTTATTTCCTTTGGATATATACTCAGATGTGGGATTGCTTGAGCATGTGGGAGTTCTATTTTTTAACTTGGTGTGAAGTATTTTAACTCCTCACTCCTATCCATAGGGGGAGGGTGGGTACTAGTTTGCATTCCCATCGCCAATGTGCCATCATTTCCTTTTCTCCACGTCCTTGCCAGCATTTGTTGTCTTTAGTCTTTTTAGTAATAGCCATTCTTACTAAGGTGAGGGGATACCTCATTATAGTTCTAATTCGCATTTCCCTGTAGATCAGAGTGATGTTGAGCATTTGTTCCTATTCTTGTTCACCCTTTGCTTTTGAGAAATATCTATCCAGGTCCTTTGCTCAGATTATAACTGGATTACGTGTTTCTTGCTATTGAGCTCCTTGAATTCCTTATATATCTTAGGTATTAACCTTTATCACAAGTATGGTCGGTGAGTATTTTCTTCCATTCCATAGGTTGTCTCTTTACTCTTGTTTGTTTTCTTTGCTGTATAGAAGCATTATAATTTGATGCAATCCCATTTGCCTATTTTTGCTTTTGTGGTCTCTGTTTTGGGGGGGTGATGTCCAAAAAATATTTGCTAAGACCGACAACAAAAAACTTTCCTCCCATGTTTTCTTCGACTAGGTTTACAGTATGAAATCTTCCAATTCAGCATTTAATCCATTTTGAGTTGATTTTTGTATATAGAGTAAGATAAAGGTTCTTCTGCATGTAGATATCCAGTTGTCCCGAGAGCACTTATTGAAGAGGCTATCCATTACCTATTGTGTGTTTTCGGCACCTTTGTTGAAGATTGGTTGATTTTTAAGTTTTTGGATTTATTTATGGGCTCTCTATTCTATTCCATTGGTCCCTGTACCTGTTTTTATGTAAGTACTATGTTATTTTGATTACTGTAGCTTTGCAAAAATACTGTATTTTAAAGTCATGTAGTGTGATGCCTCCAGCTTTGATCTCTTCATTTAGGATTGCTTTGGCTTTTTGGTGTCTTTTGTAAGTCCAATAGGAATTTTACAATTGCTTTTCCTTTTTCTTTTGTTTGTTCTAAATGTTAAACATGAAAGCAGAATGCATTTCAATTCATTGCACACAAATGGAGCACAATTTCTCGTTTCTCTGGTTGTACACGATGTAGAGTCACACCATATGTGCAGTCATACATTTACCCAGGGTAATGACATTTATCTCATTCCACTCTTTCCTGCCCCCATGATTCCTCTCCTCCTCTCCCTCCCCTTGGCCCAAAGTTTCTGCCCCCACCCTCAGTCATCCCCCCACATTAGGAATCATCATCCACTTATCTGAGAGAACTTTTGGCCTTTGGGTTTGGGGGATTGGCTTACTTCACTTAGCATGATATTCTCCAACTCCATCCATTTACGTGCAAATGCCATAATTTTATTCTCTTTTAATGCTGATAATATTCCATTGTGTATATATACCACAGTTATTTTTATCCATTCATCTGTTGAAGGACATCTAGGTTGTTTTCACAGTTTAGCTATTTTAAATTGAGCTGCTTTGAACATTGATGTGGCTGCATCACTGTACTATGCTGATTTTAAGTCCTTTGGGTATGGACTGAGGAGTGAGATAGCTAGGTCAAATAGTGGTTCCATTGCAAGTTTTCTTAGGAATCTCCATACTGCTTTCCTCATTGAAATTTTAATAAGGATTGTATTAAATCTATAGATTGCTTTGAATATCATGGCTATTTTTTAAATTTTATTCCTATTTTTTTATGTACAACAGAAGAATGCAATTCAATTCATAGTACATATATAGAGCACAATTTTTCATGTCTATGGTTGTACACAAAGTAGAGTCACACCATTCATGTCCATATGTACTTAGGGTAATGATGTCCATCTCATTCAACCTTCTTTCCTACCCTTATACCCCCTTCCTCCCACTCCCTCCCCTTTGCCCTATCTAAAGTTTGTCTATTCCTCCATGCTTCCCCCACCCCCATCCTCATTATAAATCATCCTCCTCATGTCAGAGAAAACATTCAGCCTTTGGTTTTTGGTATTGGTTAACTTCACTTAGCATTATATTGTCCAACTCCATCCATTTACCTGCAAATGCCATGATTTTATTCTCTTTTAATGCTGAATAATATCCCATTATGTATATATACCATATTTTCTTTTTCATGGCCATTTTAACAATATTTATTCTTTTCAATCCATGAACCAAGTATACGTTTCCATTTGTTTTTGTCTTGCTCAGTTTCTTTCATCAGTGTTTCATGGCATTCAATGTATAGATCTTTCAGCTCATCATTAAGTTTATTCCAAAGTATTTTTAATGCTATTTGATGGGTTTGATTTTCTTGACCTTATTTTTTTATAGTTTAGAAATGCTACTGATTTTGTATTAATTTTGCATTCTGCAAATTTTACTGAATTTGGTTATTATTTCTAACATTTTTTGGCACACTGTGGGGTTTTGTGTATATAAGACCATGTTATCTGAAAAGAGAGATCAGAGACAATATAATTTCTTCTTTTCTTTTTAAAATTTTTTATTTGTTTTAATTAGTTACACATGACAATGCAATGATTTTGACATATCATACATTTGAATCAGATGGGGTAATTTCTTGTTTTCTGATTTACATTCTCTCTCTCTCTCTCTCTCTCTCTCTCTCTCTCTCTCTTTGCCCAATTGCTCTGGTCAGGACTTCTAATTCTATGTTGAATAGAAATGGCAATAGTGAGCATCCTTATCCTGTTCCTTCAACTTTCATAATTGAGTATGATATTAACTATGGGCTTGTGGATAAATGGCCTTTATTGTGTTGAGGTATGGTCCTTTAATACCTAATATGTTGAAAGTTGAGTTGCTACAATGAAAGGATAAATATTGTCAAATGCTTTTTTCTGCACCTATTGAGATGATAATATATTTTTTCTTTTATTCTATTGACATGATGTAGCATGTTTATTGTTTTGCATATATTGAAACTTTATCCCTTGCATCCCAGGAATAAATCTCACTTGATCATGGTGAATAGTCTTTTTAATGTGCTGTTTAATCTGAATTACTAGTATTTTTGTATCTGTGTGCACCATGGATATTGGCCTATAATTTTCTTTTCTTGTAGTGTCCTTGTCTGATTTTGGTATCAGGGTAATGCTGCTCCTTGGAAATATTCTCCTCTTCCATTTTTTTTGAAAAGTTTAAAAAGGATTAGTATTAGTTCTTCTGACATTTGAATGCACAAATTTATTACTGTGTATTTTAACTGGATGACAAATTTTACAAATTACTAATAATTGATATCCTCCTTGTCAGACAACAGAAAGATCAGAGTTAATGGAACCAAAGAACCTATAGAGTTTAAATCGAATCAGTGGTTTGGAGCAACAGTGAAAGCTCACAAAGGGAAAGTTGTGGTGAGTACAAATTGTGTGATTGTGGTGTTGCTTTGGAATAGTAGGTGCACAGAAATGTTGTAATGCTCATATTTAGAAAAACCCCATTACCCAGGAACTTATTACACTCTCAAAGRTAAAGTATTGGCTTCTAAYACTTTTTAGTGCTTAAAATTAAACAATGTAGTTTAATGTTCAAAGCTATGGGAAATGAAAATTGTTTCTCAAAAGAGCAGTTAGATACTTTCACATATTTTAAAGGTGACTAAGAAATATGAAAAAAATAAGAGCTAATTATTCAGGAGGGTATTTTATTGATTAAGATTTAAAGATCTGTCTAAAATCTGAACAGAAAAACGAGCACTCCTCTACTGCAGTTACCACTGATTCTTTTTTGAATAAAAGTCAAGCTTTCTTTAATATAAAAATGTTAGAAACTACTAACTACCTGATTTTGTGATTTCATTACTGCTTTTGTACTGAAAACTCTCAAATAGATCTTTTAGTTTTAAACTGTTGTGATTATAACTCCTATTCTTATTTTTGATAAACAATAATACATGTCTAAGTTGTTGAGAAATAAGTAACCATTGAATTAATCTGAATTTTGGGGGGTTAGGGATTTTTTTTTAATTTGTTGGCTTTAATTTCTCTTCAACAATAAAGAAATAATTTTGGATTTTAGAATTTGTTTAAAGCTATTTGAATTATAGTTTATTAAGAATAAAYATCTAAAGAATAAATACCTAAATTACAGTTTAGTGAGAATAAATATCTAAAAGTTTTATTTATTCTGTGGCTAACCTCCTCCAAAAGATCTTTACATAAATAGAGGATGTGCAAAATATAGGTTGTCTTCTTTAGTTAGAAATACAGCATTTACAATGCACTTTATATAGTTTTTACATTTATATAGTTTTCTTCCAGAATTAATAAGATCTTCTTTATTCTTTAGTTATATATGGCTTATGAGAATTACTAATGACAAACTAAGTCCATCCTAATAACTGTTTGTGATTCAAAATATCTTTTGGGTACTTTATTTTTTGGAGTCTGAAATTTTATCTGTAGCACATAATTGTTGCACAATATTTCTAGAAACCTCCAATTGGAAATACAATAATATAATATGTTCATGATAAGAAAGTTTTATTTTTGATATGGTTGCATTTTTTAAATTATGTGATGAAAAGAATAGTGTAAAGTGTATTTTCAGTTAATCTTTGTTTTTTTGAGTGCCAAAACTTAGCAGAATAAAGAATTAAATTCTACTCTATGTGATACAATATTAAAATTAACAATTAGTAATGCACAATAATTAATTATACAAAATCTGCCTACAGAAGGATCATTTTGCTGGGTGAGTTGGCACATGCCTGTAATCCCAAGGGCTTGGGAAACTGAGACCGGAGGATCATGAGTTTAAAAAGCCAGTCTCAGCAAAAGCCAAGAGCTAAGCAACTCAGTGAGACCCTGTCTCTAAATAAAATACAAAATAGTGCTGGGGATGTGGTTCAGGGGTCGAGTGCCCCTGAGTTCAATCTTCAATACCCGCCCCCAAAAGGATCATCTTCAATACCCAGGTATCATGGATATACATCAGACTTGAGTCAAAACCTAAACATATCATATAAGTGAAATCAAGCAGACATATAGAGAGATAATATCTATATCTATATTATCTATAGTAACCTTTTAGAATGGACATCAGGCAAACACTGGATACTATCAGGCCTACAGGTGACTCTTTTCACTGTCCTGACTCCCCCTGTGTTCAACATTCATACCTTGCATTGAATTTATTAACCAAGTAACTGAGAGGGCGCTAAGACAAGGGAGCCGAGATGCCTTGGAGACTTTGGGGGCACTAGCAAGACTTTATACTATATARGAAAGCAAAACCACACAGCAAAAGTTGTAGAAAGGTGATTGACTTGAAAATATGGGTTGTCTCTGCTAAAAGTATGTATTGGACTAGATTATAAAGGATACATTTAAAAGCAGAAGATGACTTTAAAATCAGTACGTCTTCACTTCTCATTAGAAGATAGCCTAGTAGCTCCACCTTCTAGGATTCTGCAATTTTGTGTCCTTAGGAATGAGGCTTGAACAATCAATTCAAGCTAGCAAAAAAGAAGTCAAAAAAGCTACCTATGTTGGGCTGGGACTGTGGCTCAGAGGTAGAGCTCTAGCCTAGCACGGGCGGGACCCGGGTTCGATCCTCAGCACCACATAAAAATAAAGGCATTGTGTTGTGTCCATCTACACCTAAAAAATAAATATTTTTTTTTTAAAAAGCTGCCTATGTTTTGTACACATTTACTGCCTCTCTCATTCTTAGCAACATTAATATTATTTAACTTAAAGAGGATTTCATTTCTATCCTTTTAAATATCATGCCCTTGTTAGAATCTAAATTCCGAAGAAGAAATCAGAGCATGTCATCTAAAAAAAATCACATTTTTCTTATTGATGTTTAAATTTATTTTTGTTGATAAAATTCTTAATATTGTGTGAGCTAATTCAAAGGCAAGTCCTTCTTTTCACCATAATTTACTCCTAGAAGCAGCACCATAAGGAAGACTCTAATAAATATGTCTTATTTTCTCCAGAGGAGCATTCTTAAAAGAAGAAGAAGTGAGTAAAGCATCAGATAAGTTTCTAATATTAATATGACAAATTTGTTATCATAAAACAAAGATATAATAACTAATACATACTATTTTAATATTATAAAATTATGTTTCAATTTCTATTTAGTGGGCATGCATTTAATTTAATTTAACATGCAATTATTAAGAAACATCTACATAAAAAGCTCTGTTAAGTGCTGTTGGCAGTTTAATAAATTCCAAAAGAGGCTCCAGTGTGAGATCAAGTGTATAACATGCACCCTTATCAAATTTACCACTCTATAGATTAGCTGGAAATAAGCATGAACGCTTCTTTTCTAACCTTTTGGGGTTTTGCCTTGTTAGAATTGAGAGTGCATTTATGGAATGGGTTGGATAACTTGCCTCCTTCAAAAACATTGTCTGTGGTCTTTAGAGTTTATCAGAATAAATTTCTCCATAACAAGCAGAGTCAGATTGTTGAATTACTTCACATCTAATGTTATGCTTTGGAAATGCTTATAGGTCATTAACATGTCCTTTTTTTTTAATTGTTGATGGACAGCATGACTTCAATTTATTTGTGTATTTTTTTTTTGATGTGGTGCTGAGGATGGAACCCACATGCAAGGCAAATGCTCTGCCACTGAGCTATAGCCCCAGCCCCAACATGTGCTTTTTAAATGACTTTTTGATTACTTCTCATAAAATTGCTGAAACAGGCATAAGATGCTATCTCTTGCCTTCAGTTTTACTGTGCATAAAAAAACAATAAGTGAAAATAAAGCCCAAAATACTGTGATAAGGAGGTAGTATGTCTAGATGGAAGTCATTATTTAAACATTCATAAGAAGCAACTATGGAAATCCACCAAACAGAGGTTTATAAACTTGTGTGCATCCTTTGATTTGGAAGTCATCTTTTTTTTAAGGTAACAACTAAACAAAGAAAGGGAGCATTTCTCATTTTAAGACATCACAGTGATTCATTCACTGTTTAAATGATCATTAGCTTTCTTGTAGGTTCAATTAACAAAAAAGAAATGAAAAGAAAATACAAGGTTTATTTGCTTTTAGGAAGTAATTTTCTTTTGCCATGTTACTTTTTTTAAATTTAAAATTCTTTGGAGGGGGGGCTCATTCCTTTGTATATGTTTAATGTTTGTTTAATGTATATTAATGTTTGTTTAATGTATATTAATCTTAAAAAGCAGCTTGGCGAGTTTAAATCAACCAAGGACTCACTAGGATGATGAAGGCCAATTAATTCAACTGACAATTTAAAATAATATGTCCTAGCTTTAGGTACACTAATTGAAAATTAGAGTCAAACTATTATATAAGAAAACTACCTTGAGGAGAGAAGGGGGAAGTACTGGGAAAAGATATTGGCCAAATTTTATTGTTATATTGTGTGTATGTGCAAATGTGTGAAAACAAATCCCATCAATATGTACAACTATTATGCACCAATAAAAATGTGGGGAAAAATAAATAGAAAACTGCATCAGAAATATTTTTACTGTCTTTGATGTTTTTTAAGGCCTGTGCTCCTTTATATCACTGGAGGACTCTTAAACCAACACCAGAAAAAGACCCGGTTGGCACTTGCTACGTGGCAATTCAGAATTTCAGTGCCTATGCTGAGTACTCCCCTTGTCGGAACAGTAAGTTATTTTTATCCATTAAGACTGAAATCTAGCTCAATGGCTTTTCTATGATGGATTCCTATCTGTTCCTTTTCTATGATGCAGGTAAATTCAAAACACCAGTGAGGGCTGGGATTGTGGCTCAGCGGTAGAGAGCTCGCCTAGCAGGGGCATGAACCCGGGTTCGATCCTCAGCATAAAAATAAAGGAATTGTATTGTGTCCATCTACACCTAAAAAAATTAATATTTWAAAAAAACCACCAATGATACATTGTAACATGACAGGGGAAAGGGAGGAAGGTGTAAATTATCGAAAGCTTTGATTGGAAGGCCAACGTTCAGAATTCTGCTGACCCTTTTCTGTGTTTTTGGAAATTCAGTTATTAGATATTCTGCAGTAGAATTGATTTCTTCCCTGTTTTAGGTCTGAAAGTGTCAGTTGCTGCTTAAATTTCACACAGTATTCTAAAGAGGGTGGCTGCCCATTCTGCTTGTTTATGGCAGGCATGGTGTTGGTCAGTTCATGGTGCTGGGCCCAGCTCAGCATCAGCGTTCTGTCTGGCCTGTGTGCTCAGGGGTTGTTGCTTTGATTGACAGACACTTTTCTCCTTAAGGTATTCAATTCCCCACTACCACCACTACCACCATTTTTCCCCCCAGTGAAGATGCTGTACACTTAGAATCCAAATCTCCTCTGACAGTTCTAGAAATCTTCCAATAAAGCATGTTTTAAAGGAAGCCTGTGAGTGCCATTTGGGGGACGTTGCTGTATAATCCCTTTATTTTGTAGAATACCCAAGGACTCTGAGATGGCATGATGGGTGGATGGATTGACTGATCATCTGCTCAGAGTTTTTTGGGAATGCCTCCATTTTTCTAAGTGCCAAGTAGATTACTGGTTTTTATAGATAAGCGAACAATGGGTTTTTACTCTTATTCTTATTAATTCAGCAAATGACATTGGATGGGGAAAAATGTCATTGGAAAGAACTTTCTAGAGACTGATTTCAGTACATGGTTTTTTAAAAAAATCTCAATCCAGAGTTAGTTTAACTCCGAAAATTACAAGTGAATTTTCCTCATTTTGCATAAATATTTTTAAAATTCAAGATTATTGGGAACTTAGTGAGCCGCTGTTTCAAAATAAACAATAAAACCAGGCACAGTGGTACAGCCACTGTGTACATCCACTGTACTCCCAGCAGCTTGGAAGGCTGAGGCAGGAGGATCACAAGTTCAATGCCAGCCTCAGCAAAATCGAGGTCTCAGTGAGACCCTGTTTCTAAATAAAATACAATTGGATTAAGAGAGAGGCCACTGAGTTTCACACCTGAAAGTGGAATTTATTTTTAACTCTGATGGGTTTTGATGAGGAAAGTGATTTTCTAAATGTCAGCTAAATAAATAATCTGTGGAATAATAAGGACTTCGCTTTAAACAGCTATATTGAGGGTTCTTTGTGGATAACCAGATTTCATTATTTATTCATTCAACACATTTATTGAACACATTAGCACTACCCATTCTACAGTTAGGGGATACACCAAAGAATAAGAGAAAACAAATCCCTTTGTCCAAGGAACTGACACTTCAGTGGGAGAGATAGAGAACAAACAACAAATATATCAACAAATAAATTCAAATATCATATCAGGTAGAGAAAAATGCCTTGAAACAGCAAGGCAAGAGAGAGAGGCATGACCCAGGCCTGGGGGGGACAGGTAGAAGGGGGCTCCTTAGACAGGACGATAGGGAGAAATTCTTTTAGTAAGTGGTAGTTGGGATGGTGAGGGGAGAAATTTCCCAGGAACAGGCCATAGTCAAGAAGAGGCTAGCGTGGCTCACTTTCCATTCAGGTGCTTGGTTCTTGGGTTTGGTAAGAGGTCAGTGTTGTTAAGCCCAAAAGATTCAATGCTGAACTTGTTTTATCATTGCTTATACCTATCCATAGCACTTTTTTCATGATGGCTATAGTTGCGTCCCCAAATTACACATTTTTGTGGTAATTAAAAGCTGAGCCCATCTTTACACGCTTTTTGCCTTGATGACACGTCTTATTCCTCCAACTGACATCAAGGGTGATCATTTGTAAAACCTGTCCTACTTCTTGTTCTGCCCCTTTGCCTGACTGCCCATGTGATGTGAGAGCTCACACAGCCCATAGAATCTAGTCTTGTGGGACACACATTTCAGKGTGAGGTTGAAGCATGATTTAAATATAAATTACAGACACTCTCATCTTGAGCTTCTTTATGGTGCCAATTTATTTATTCTTTATTTTCCTAAATAGAAGAGTAGTGGAATAAAGGCAAAAACGGAGCTGAGGCTGAGTTGCAGAATTGCTAGGTAAATGGCCAAGAATTTTTTGGACTCTAATACAACCCACAGTCTTCACATCCTCAGGGGCTCCCTATTCCTACTTGTACTCCTTCCTCTTTAAATCATCCAAAGAGCAGACTTCCTGTCATGGTTAAGAAATTCACAGTTCATTAACACAAAGCCAGCTTGTTCATGAGCATATGGTCAATATCACAGAACAGGGACATCAGCAATATTATTTTCAAAAGAGAATTTAAAGAATCGCTTCTGTTCATTCCGCACCACAAACTCACTCTGCAACTGTGAGCAATGTGGGAACTCACCTGTTCATTCATATGGATGTCACATCTTCAGCTCTTACAGTTATTCATGATCCAGGTGAGGAGCGTTGACACACACTCTCCCATTTTACTCTGGATGCCAAATCTAGTAGCAAATGAACAGCATCCGTCCTCACATTCCTGAGTTCACTGGAACGTAATTATAAAGTTCAGAGACATTCTGAAATTCCAGGAAGAAGGATGCCTTCAGCTCTTCCAATAAATCATGATTCAACAAGAAAAGAGAAATGGCTTTGTGGACGAAAGAACTTCACAAGCTACTCCAGTTGCCACTCAAAATAAACATGTGAAGTTGGTTATTTTCTCAATGAATTTTTTTTAAAATAGTGCTTTCTCTTCATCTTTTTCAGTTTCTTGTTCTAAAGCAAAATAGCTTCCAAGAATGATCATGTTCCTTTCCTGTTGAATACTTGACAATATTAAAAAGAATAGTTGACTTTTTTTAAAAAAAAAAGATTTGTGCCTTCCAATTTTAAAAAGAAGCAAAAGGGAAACCAGTAGAGGAAGAGGATCAAGTAAGGGAGTGAGGTAGGGAAAAGAGGTACTAGGGAATGAAATGGATCATATTATGTGCATGTGTGAATATGTCCTAATGAATCCCACTATTATGTATAATTCTAATGAAAAAGTAAAAGGTTTGTGCATTTAAGAATACATTTCTTAAACATATTGAGATTAACACATATAGATTCACATAGCAGTGTATCATGCATGCACATATATTTCTAGATGTGTATGAATATTTACACCCATGACTTTCTAGAAAACTAGTACCCAGAGGTTATATAGATGAACTTTTATGGAACTTAATAAAAATCATAGCCATAAGCCACAAAATATGATTATAAAAGGAGGAAAGACGGGTTGGGGTTGTGGCTCAGTGGTCACTCACCTAGCACGGGTGAGGCACTGGGTTCAATCCTCAGCACCACATAAAGATAAATAAATAAAGGTATTGTGTCCACCTATAACTAAAAAATATTTTTTAAAAAAAGAAGGAAAATTATGTCACAATATGTTGTATATGGTAGAAAACTTTGAAATGTAAAAAAAAATTAAATTAAAAAAAGAAGGAGAGCATCTGGAGAAACTGATGATGACGATACTAAAATTAGCTAAGTACTGACCAAAGGCAGGGAAAAAATGGAAGACATTCTAGGAAAAGCTGGAAGGACAATATCCATTTCAGAAAGTGTCTGGAACAGGCACACATCCAACCTGTGGGTGTTTCCTGTGATGATGTGTATTTGTTTCCTTTCCTGCCCTCTCATTTTGGTTTTCATTCTGGAATATTCTTTTATTATTATTATTATTATTATTAGTTGTTCAAAACATTACAAAGCTCTTGACATATCATATTTCATACATTTGATTCAAGTGGATTATGAACTCCCATTAGGAATATTCTTGATAAAAAAAATAAGTAATTAATAGCATGTTCATATCTAGCACTACACACACACACACACACACACACACACACACACACACACACCACATATTCTTTTTTGGTAGTGGGGGATTGAACTCAGGAGCACTTGACCACTGAGCCACATCCCCAGCCCTATTTTGTATTTTATTTAGAGACAGGGTCTCACTGAGTTGCTTGACACCTTGCTTTTCCTGAGGCTGGCTTTAAACTTTTGATCCTCCTGCCTCAGCCTCCCAAGCTGCTGGGATTACAGGTGTGTGCTACCACACCTGGTCCATATCTAGCTATGTTAACTATTAAGATTTCCCCTACTTAACTACATGTTAGCTATAATTCAAGCATTTTAGAAGTGCTTAAAGTACAAGTTATGAGCAGTACATTTCTAATCTTAATGCCATAAAGACTTTGATAATAAAACTATTGGAATCCTTCTGTTGGTATATAATTTGCACAAGTATACAATGAGATATTTTTGGACATTCTGTTAGTGAATAACACTGAATACAAAATAACCATTCCTAGAGTGTTCTCTTTCTCGTGAACATCAGCATTGGAATGTCCCTGTGAGAGTGATTGCAATCAGAAATGGAATTTGCCAATTYATCTAACAATAGAATAATTTTAAGGTCAGTTCCTAATGAAAAGCACAGAAATGGAAATCCTTTTTGGTGTTCCCCCAGTAGAAAGCAAGAACACAGGTGATCTTTCTCCAGGCATTCCTGTTAGGAATGKCAAATGTATGAGAAGGAGCAGGCAAAGATGAGAGGTTAGTGTCACAAGGGCAATTAGAAAGATAGTCTAAAGGTGGAGATTTTATTTCTTCCAATGAACATGATTTGTAAAACCCAATTTAACTCTGTTTCTTTTGCTGTATTCCCTAAACGTAGAATAGTCAATACTCTATGTGAGCAGTAGATCCAAAAAGATATTATTCCTATTGCTCTTACTATAGAATCACAATGATGTTTAGAATCAGAAAATACGTGGAACACATTTAACAAATTACTTGGAATGAATTTTTAAAATACAGAACATATTAATTATTTCAGGTTTAGAAATCTACAGGGAAAACAACAAAATATATGGAATCGGTCATTAAAATATATCTTAGAAATGATGACGTTATAACACTTATATATCTTGATCCTTCCAGGCAATGCCGATCCTGAAGGCCAAGGTTACTGCCAAGCAGGATTTAGTCTGGATTTTTATAAGGTGATTTGCTTTGGTCTTGCAGTCTCTAATATTTCATGTGGTTTGTTGCTGTTTAACCCTCTTTCCCTCCCATGCCCCTCAACAATAGCAACAACCAATGAACCCTTAGGTACCTATGTATCCATGTCTGGCAACTTCTTAAGATTATTTTTCCATTTACTCTTTATTTCTATTAAGGAATCTATGCACATAACAATTTATTGATGAAATCACATACAATGACATATGTATAGGAATACCAGGAAAAGCAATCATCTTCTTTCCTATCCCCTGTAGCAATTGTTTTTAAATGAAAATCTCAAAAACTCAGGGAAAAAATATATTTCTAAATTGATCAGAAGAATCTATAAATTATTTAATCTCTTAGCTAGGACTGATTGATTTGGTTATACAAGAAAATTCACATATCCTTTTACAAAATTAAAAACACAGATGTCTAGTACTGTACTTGAGAACAGACATCCTAGGGTTTTGAAATAGAGATACAGTAGAAATTTTTCATCAACATATGTTGTTTGACTGCTGTTCATTATATTTTCTGTCATGGCTTTTTTGTTTTCTATTAATTTTTCTCCCACTGGGATATACAGATTTAAGGTATCAAAAGTGGGAATGTATGCAGTTGAAAATATATTTACATTTTCTAGTCCGGAGGGTTTGCTTTCTTTCCTGAGAAGGGGGTAGGCTTGCAGATATATGAGAAAATAAAGCAGGCATTACTGTGGCCTTGAAAAAAAAAWCAGGACAGAATTTTCCTTTTATTATCAAGGCTTTTTCAAAGACCATGCCTGCTAAATCGTGCATTAAAAATGCAGATGTTTTGTTTACCAGAGGCAGTGCCAAAAAAACTGAATTTATATATTCTCAGGGGAGAAAGTTCAACTTACCTGAGTCATATTACCACTCTTTAATCACATACTAAATAATTGAAAGGAAATTAAAAGAGGAAAGAAAATGACCTGCAGGCCTCTGATACAAGGACCTCTTTGAAAAATCGTTTTTTAATGAGAACAAATGGTTAGAGTAGTGCTTATTAGCAATGATTTATCGCTCTGAAAGTTTCTCAGTGTTCCTTTTCCAATTGTTGTTCCTGTTGCTGCTTCTGTTTTGTAGAATGGAGACCTCGTTGTCGGAGGACCTGGAAGTTTTTACTGGCAAGGTATGTTCTGTTAGCAGAGGAGAAAAGCACATTTGTTGTTACTCATAAGGAGTCAAATGTTGACTTTTTATTACATTAATATTTTATCCTTAGTCATAGTTTCTTGAATAAAGCATCGTTTCAATTTGTACTCTTAATATAGAAATGCTATTTTAAAAAATTCTTGCAACTTAACAATTCATTTCTTCCCCCRGAATTTACTGACGCTGTGCTAAGGTTTTGTGTTAGATGCTAGGAATATAATAATGGGTGAAAACAGATATGGTTTTTACCTTCACAGAAGTTAATAACTGGGGAAAGATACAGGCATCAATTGAATAGTAACATGAATACCTAAGAAACTCTGATCATGATACACACAAGGAAGGAAAGTTATGTCATGCTGGGGCCATAAAAAGCAGGAGGCTTTCCCAGGATGGCTGCAAATAGGTGAGCTTTGTATTCTGATCCTTGGCTGACAGGGAGCTGGAATACAAGTTGTAATCTACTTAAGGGCCACCAACTCAGGTGCAAGACAGCATGTACCCAAATGGGATGACTTCCTCTAATTCTTTTTTTTCTTTTTTGCTACTGGGTATTGAACCCAGGGGTGCCTAACCACTGTGCCATATCCCCACCCCTTTTAATTTTTTTTTGTTTGAGACAAGATCTCACTAAACTTCTTAGGCCCTCACTAGGTTGATAATTAGGATTTTTAAAAGGAGGGGGTAAGAGCTGTATATGGAGTGGCCCTACCCATCACGCAAAGGGCTTGCAGGCCAAGGTAAACAGCATTGTTACTGTCCTACAAACAAAACACTACTGGTGGATTTAAAGAGTATAAATGGATGGGTTTAGCTGGAGTAGGAAGGTGATATTTGTCCTCAGAACAATGGGAAGGTTCTGGGGAAGTTCATGGCATACTATTATCAAATTCACGTTTTAAGACCATCACCATGGCTATGATCTGAAAGCTGATTGGAAGTTGGCCGAAGTGAAATATTAGCAAACTAAGTCATAAGGTTGTTATAAAGTTATAAGCTAACTAAAAGTTTTTAAAGTCAACTAGCTATAGATTTCATGTAAACATGTTTGCTCCTTAAGAATAGAGATATGCAGATTGAAAAGGAGAAAAAATTTGCCAGACATGGTAGTACGCACCTGAAATCAGGAAGCTAAGGCAGGAGGATGGCAAGTTTAAGGCCTGCCTCAGCAACTTAGTGAGGCCCTTAGCAACTTAATGAGACAGTGTCTCAAAATTAAAAAAAAAAAATTTAAAAGGGCTGGAGATGTGGTTCTGTGGTTGAATGCCCCTGAGTTCAAATGCTACCAAAAAGAAAGAAAGAAAGAAAGAAAGAAAGAAACAAAGAAAGAAAGAAAGAAAGAAAGAAAGAAAGAAAGAAAGAAAGAAAGAAAGAAAGAAATCATGTTAAGAATATGCTACTGACTTCTGCAACTAAAATCAGTTGGGTACCACTCACTGAGTTAGAGAACAATGGAAAAAACAGGTTTAGAATGAGTTGGAAAGAGAAGGTGTTCAGTTTGCTTTTGGTTATGTTGAGTATAGAAATGTTGGACTGTCCGAGAGTTTTTCACTTAAGTATTTAGGTATCAAGGTTTAAGTTCTAGGAAGATATCTTGGGGTGAAAGATAAACTTATGTCACTTGCATATTGGTGATAACTGAAGCCATGGATAAGAATGAGATATCTAACAAGAGAATACAGAGAATTTAGATGAAATTTTGGCCGTAAAGTTCAGGATAATTAGAGTAGAATGTGAGACAGATGAATAGCTGAGGAATGATTGTTTTAAATGGAAGAGACTGGATAATATTTAAAAGCCAATGGGAAAGGTCCAGGAAGATGAATTTATGATAAAAATTTATATAAAATTACTCTTAAGCTTAATTCATACACATTAATCATGAATATCAAATAATTGACATCTTGGTCTTTAAAGATTCTTTTGCAAACTGAAAAACATGTTTTGCAAGAGATGGACATAAAATAAAATTTACGTTTATTTTTAAAGATTGTCTTCTAATTCACTTGGTTAATTTTGCATAATACATTTCTTTGTTTAAATTGGGGAAATGTTTGATACAAATGATTTGCTGTAAATTAGCTCTGGCAAGGACATATAGAAGCATTTGTCTGAGACATAGAATTTAAAATTTTATACAGGTTTAAGATTATGTTTATAGACACAGCTGAAGGAAAAAAAGCAAAGGCAGTATGCATGTGGGAGGGAAAGAAGGTTTATAGAGCTTTAATTAAAAGAAAATTGGCAAATTCTATAGATATTGTTCAAAAATTCATATGTAAACACYATTGTCTAATATCAGAACAGTCATTTCTGTCCCAGTGACTTGGAAATATTTATGACGTGATTTTTGGGGTTTTTTGACGGTTTTATTCTTTCTCCCCCCCACTTTTTTTTTGGGGGGGTGACTTCAAACAGAAAGATTGTGGGAATTTTATGTGTGAGTTTCTCAAGACTAATTTGGCTTCAAAATTGATGTTAAATATTAGTCTTTTGAAAGCATTCCTCCAGTTTCCTTCCAAGRAGCTCATGATTACACTTCTGCCCTAGATGTCCATAAAAGATGTGGAATGCAAAGCAACTATAGAGAAAAATTACTATCTTTTAGACAATCATGTACTCCAGTACAATCATATTTCAAGACTTTCAAGTGTGACTTTATTTGGGAGAAATTAGCAAAACTTCTTATCCTATCAATGTTGGTGGCCATGGATTCCTTTATTGCTAAAATTCTGGATCTCACTGAACCTAGCTCCTTCCTACTGTCATAATTTTATGCTCAATAGATTTTATTCTCAATATATTTTAGCATAAAAAGTAAATGACTCATTGATCATATAATTTCTTCCTTTAACTTAACTGATATGTTTACAATCTAATGAGTAGTACTTATACTCAATCTAAATCTAAATTATTTATTTAGATTTACTGTACATCTATACTTTGCAAGACTACRAAGTTTTATTAAAATGCCAAAGGAGACCTTAGTTGTCATGTCAGATATCCTTCTAGCAAAATCATGTGACCTTAGAGAATGCATTCAAGGGCTCTGAGCCTCATCTTCCCCTTTTCTAAGAAACTATATTGGCTAGATGATTTCAAAGTTTGCTTCTAGAATGAATATTCTAGAATAAGAAATTTAATTATATAAATTGAAGGCAAAGGGAGTAGGTGTGCTGGAAGCAACCTGAAATGTTCATCTTTGGTCTTCTGTGCAGCTATAATCAACTCTACCTTTCAGTTCTAGTGGCAGGCAGGAAAATTTATCATCAAGAATGCAAGTAATCCCATGGTAGCTTTCAAGGATCGTGTGTGGTTCTGGGTCTGCTGAGGGCCTGCCTCTTGCATTCATTCAGTTAACTTATTCGTTTGTCTAAAAACAGGTCAAGTGATCACCGCCAGCATTGCAGACATTATCGCAAATTACTCATTCAAGGATATTCTGAGGAAACTGGCTGGAGAAAAGCAGACCGAAGTAGCTCCAGCTTCCTACGATGATAGTTACCTTGGTGAGATCCACTGCTCAAGACATTTTTTTCTTGAAAGAAAAGCAGATTTAAATGTAGATGCAAATTTGATTTCATACTTATTTGATGTCATTTGTCATCTTCTATAAGTTTCCTTTCCTTACTAGAATAGATGCTTAGCTTTTCTCTTTAAATACAACTACCATTTTTTTTTTACTAATGTTGTATACTTGCATAACTTGAGAAGCTATTTTGTTTGTTTTTGAGCAGCTCTTCTGTAGGATCCATAACAATCTTTTGCATATAAAATACTTGGCTGATAGTAGACACCATGTATTAGCAGGGCTGCTACCAATGTTACCGGGGCAACATGGTTGCTGAGCCAGTGTCCAGATCAGCAACAAGAGACTTTCCAGCTGCTCGAATATTCTCAAACTTTAGCATACGCAAACCGCACAAAATCATTTCATCACTACTCTTTCCCACCTTTGGTATTCTAGTGGTATTTTGTTTGCTTGATAAATTTGAAAAAAATTTTAAATGGTACTTATGTTTTCTAAGAACAGCTAGCACCTCCTTTYGGAGCTAAGTGAAATTTGTGAAAAATAATTACTAAAGGAATTAGTAAGCATGCCTTGTTAATGATCAAAAGTAGCAAAGCTCTTAAAATGTAACAGCTGCCATTTCCATATACAGATTGATGATGAAGTGTTCATGTTTTGAAAATTGACCTGATTGGGAATCTGATTTTTTTTTTTTTTTGCCAGTTTCTACATAATGTTGGTAGTAACAACTATTGTGTATCTAGGATTTACTATGAAAGTATTCATAGTAGTGAGATTGCTTTTCCTCTTTATTGAACCACGAGCTTTTATTTCATAATGTTGATAAAGATTTCTAAATAAAGGAGTACTATACTAGATATATCTCATTTAATCTGATTACAGTTTGTTTCTTTTCTTTTAAAACAGGATACTCAGTTGCTGCTGGGGAATTCACTGGAGACTCTCAGCAAGGTGAGAGACATCATTGAACTTAAGTCATCTTAAAAGCATAGAGAATAGGTAAAATGACATTAAAAGTCCTTTTGTAAATATGTTTTCTTGTTATACACAATATATATAAATGGAATTCCAAATACATATGATAATATTTTGCAAAAAATGTGTACATATTTGGTGCAGCATTTTCCGTCACAACAAATTTCATAGGAATTGATATAAACCTTAAGAAATAAAAATTAGGGCAGTCATCCTATGTTGCGAATGAAAAACGTACAGATGGTTAAATAATTAGACAATAGCCATGCCATTGGCAACAGACCCAATTTCTCTTAAAAGAGAAATTAAGATCCCTCTTTTTAATTTAACTTCTAAGATCTCATATTGTGSATGTCTGAAACTACACTCCCCACCTGACTCCTATGCCTCATGCCAACATTACTTCTCTCTTTTCCTTTGAACATGTGCAGTCCCAAAATAACAGCACAATCTAATGCCTGTTCTCGTGTGTGACATGCAATCACCTGCCTTCTATCCTTTCCTTTCCTTTCCTTTGGCTGTTGTGTCTGTTTTCAGTCCTCTAAGTCTGTATCCATCGCCATCTTCCAGTGGCCAAGTGCTTTTATTTATTTATCTTTTTAGGTCAATTTTAAAAGTCATCTTCTTCAGAAATCCTTACTTAGCCTCCTTCTGTAAACCCTTATGTCATCTTCCTTTTCTCTCTCCTATGGGATTGGCCATTCATTAGTCAAATGTGTGTGTGTGTGTGTGTGTGTGTGTGTGTGTGTGTAAAGTGTGGAGCATGCAGAGGTGAACAAATGGTCCTTAATCTCAGAGTCTGATAGATACTAATGAACCCAGAATACCGAATTAGAAATTGTGCTAAGTACCATGATAAAAGCCAATTTTTATATTCTAAAGTGTGTAAAAAAATATGTAGTTTTCAGGGAATTCGTTTTAACTGGCTGGACTTTGATACGAATAATGAAATAAGGTTGGTTTAGAGAAAAGGGACTGGCCCAGATCATGTAGGGTCTTGTAGGTCATGGAAAAGATTCTAGAACTTATGCAAAAAACAGGGGAGAAGCCACACAAGGTTTAAGCAGAGTAATAAGTATAATCCAATTATACTTGTGATTTGAAAAACAAAACAAAAAGAAAGKGAAGAAGGTTAACCACAAAAGCTGTTTCATGTGTCTCCTTAAAGGCAAAATCCATGCACTTTTTTTTTTTTTTTTACTGGGGATTGAACCCAGGGGCACTTTACCACTGAGCTACATTCCAGTCCTTTTATTTTTTATTTTGAGACAGGGTCTTACTAAGTTGCTAGTTGTTGAGGCTGGCCTCAAACTCACAATCCTCCTGCCTCAGCCTCCCAAGTCACTGGAATTGCAGGCATGCACCACTTTGCCCAACATGATTTCCTTTTTTTCTTTCTCCATGGCATTTGAGCACTTGTTTAAAAAGCTCTCTAAAATAATACTCTGACCCAAGGAAATTAGTGATGCTGCACATCAACACTTTCCCAGGAAAGATGGTAGAAAATAAATAATGATTTTTCCATTGGATCTCAGGAATATCTAGAAAATGTATCCAAATTTTGAGGATATCTGAAATAAAAACTTCTCTGAAACCATACCACAGTCAGTTCACTAGGTTGTTATGAATCCAAGGCTGTCCATGTTCACTCTTTACTTAATTAGACACCAGGGACTTAGAATGCCATGAAAAAGGATTTGATGTCCTCTACATGAAGGATTCTTAATATGGAATCTCTGGACTGTTGGGTGGTCCACAGATAGGCTTTACTAGTTTTGAGCTCTTAGAAATTTGATTTATATATATATATATATATATATATATATATAATTTATATAAATATATATGTAAATATATATTTCTAAAAATCTCAAGGTTTCTATGTATTTGAATTTTTCTGTTGAGAGGATGCATAAGTTTCTTTCCATTTCAAATGTATTCATGACTCAAAAAAGATAAAGAGCCTGTGATCTCATTTTGGAATTAGATGTRGTGAGCTAAGACCCAAGAAAATGATCTGAACTTGACCCTTATCAGGAAAGTAATTGAATATGGAGAAGGAACATTGACTTGACAATTCTTGACTTCTACTCAATAACTATGGCCTCCACAGTGACTGAATCTTTCTAAGCCTCGATTTCCCTATATATCAAAATGGGATATTAATCCCTCCTCTTTAGAGGTTAAGTGAGGTAAATATGATAAATCATATGGTATATTGCTTGTTCAAGAGAAGAACATTCAATGAAAAGTCTCTTTTCTGCTTCTCACTAGACAAAAATTTTCAGGTCAAAGACCTAAATTTTTTCTGAACATATTTGCTGATATTAAGAAACTTCTGAAGGTTTCACCATGAGTTACTGGAATAGATCTAAGAAAAGTCTCCTATTTTCTCTTCCAAGCAAAAATCTGTGTCGTTGATTGACAGTTCTAATTTGCCTTTGGCCCTAAGTAATTAAATTTCCTAATCATTTATGAATGATCATAAACATCTTTAATCAACATTTCATTTAATAGCCCCTTAATGGTGTGGTCTTGGGAGGTTGCCATTTCCAAAGTTACTGGGTATAATGATTGATTTGGGGGGGAACAAGATTCTAAATGTCTGTGAGATACGAGAAGTAATGGTTGCCCTGCATCTCAAATGACACAATCCCCCTGAATCTGTCTTAGTTGACAGGTCTGACCCTGAAGTCAATTCCATTATATTAGATTGTAGTTGGTTCTCAGTGTCAGGAGGATTTAATTTATACCCTCCAAAAAGATGACTAAAAAGTGGACAGTATCCTACTAGTGCTAGAAGCTTCCTTGGCCAGAAYCTTATCTTGTTCTCCTGTTGCTATAGGTGGACTACTCACATGCTCTCTCAAGCTAACCCCTCTGCTTTGGTCCCTTTTGCTCTTGTCCTCAGAGATGCAATTCTTGCTTTTCTATCTTTCRTAGAACCATTTCCCTTTCTCCTGTGTCATTCTTACTACCATTCAATCGTATTCTTATTTCTCCCATTAAAAACAACAACAACAACAAAAAAAACATCTACTTGTCCCACTTCCACCTGCGGCTATAACTAACGCCTGTATTTCTCTGCTTTGAAAGGATTGTCACTTTTCTCTTTCGGTATTCTCTGTGTGACAGTTCCTCCGTTCCCTTGTTTTAAGCCTCAGCCTGCTGATCTGTGCTGCTTCTGATCTTGTCAGGCAAACCAGGGGTCTCCATGTGTCTCATCTTCCCTGAACCTCAGGAGCACTGGACAGCTTGGATTCCTCCCTCCTCATCTCTCTACCTGGCTTCCCTCTAGGTCCCTGGCAGCTCTTTCAGTTCCCTCACCTCACTGAGCGACCCAGGACTAAATCCATGGACAGTTTCTACAAAATCTGAGTTCTCTCTTGGCGATCTTGTAGTTTTTATTTCTCCAGCTTAGACTGATTTCCAGGTGCATGGATCCAGCTTCCTACTCCACAGCTGTAATAGAGTAGCCATCCCAAATTTGATGTGGTGGTACGGAAGGCCTGCCCTTCCCACAGAAAGAGGTGCTGCCCTCCATTTTCACCCTCCCAGCTGCAACCTAATGGCAGTGCTGTCCTCTAAGTTGCTCAAGTCAAATACCTTGGAAATCAGCCAAGTGCTCTTTCTCTCTCCAGATCCAATCCACAATCAAATCCTGCTAACTAAACCTTCAAAATAGAACCAGAAATCAGACCACTTCTTTCATGTCTTTCTTCCTGCATATTTTCTACTCTGATCCAAGTTTATTATCTCACACTTGTATTACTGCAAGAGCATTCTGCCTGGTCTCCCTGCTTCACCCTTGCCCTCCTACAGTCTGTCCTAAATCCAGAAATCAAACTTCAATTTCCAAAACATAAGTTAGATCATGTACCTTCTTTTCTCCCAATGAGTTCCCAACTATAACCCAAGTCTTTACAATGACCTAAAAGGCTCTGGTCATTGGCCCAAATCTGGTCTCATCTCCTGCTCCATTACCCCTCACTGGTTCTATTCAAGTCACTATGGCCTCCTTGCTATTCTTTGAATAAATCCAAACACACTCCTACCTGTGGGCCTTTGCACTTGATGTTCCTTCTAACTAGGACATACTTCTGCCAGATATCTACAATACTTACTTCTTCCTTTTCTACACACGAGTCTCCCCTGACTACACTAATAAATTGCAATCCTTTCCCCATCCTAACTCCAACACCCCATCTACCAGTTCATCCCTTTGCTTTTCTCTACTTCATTTATTTTATTCTGCTATGCCATTTAATTGATTCTAATTTTTAGGTGACTACCTTCTCCAACTAGAATATAAGCTCCAAGAGACCAAGGCATTCTGTCTGTTTTATTCCTACTATTTCCCTACAATCACATGTACATCTTTGTCAACTGGATGAATGAATTTACTTATGAAATATCTAACGTCTGACCTAAGTGAATCTTCCCTTGTGATTAATACTAATACTATACACGCTCAACTCTGCTGAAGCACAGAACAGCAGATATACTTAATGCTACAATGATTATGTGCTGTACCTTTAGGAGCAGTTTKGGAGGATGGGTAGCAATTTGGATAGAATAGGAATCTATTCCATTGCCTCTTTAAATTATACTAAATTTTAAACCCTAATATAAAAGATGCTTTAGATTTATATAAACAAGAGCTAGAAATAATAATCATYATTATTATTATTATAATCTAACTCCCATAGATTGTAGGTAATTGTGGAAAACTAAGTTCAGTCACTCATCTCAGGTATAGGAGGACCCATGACTGCAACCACTGTTTTCTGAACCTATAGCCAGGCCACTGTGCACTGGACTATACTGCCCGCCTCCTCAGACTTGTCTGCTGTACCATCAGTGCTTCCTCCCTGGGATATACTTAGCTGCCATGTTGCCCAAACACTGCTGCCAAGAGGCAGTAAAATTAAATTAGCATCTAACTTATGATATGTGTTTTTTTCCCTTAGGTAATCAAACTTTGCATTTAGTTTTAGCATGTTAGTATCATGGGAACTGTACTACTATACCAGAAAAAGAAAAAAAAAAGTTCCCATAGTGATTACTGGCAAATCAGAATAAAAGTTTCAACCTAGAAATCACTTGCAGATTTGAAAAGTCAGGCTGATATTCTAGAAACAGAAGTGCATGCAGAATGGTTTGAAAACTCGACAATCTCAAAGAAAAACTTGCTCTTATGTTTTCTGTTGTCTGTAAAGAAACAAAGGTTAATGAAAATGTAATGCAAAATTCTGACTTTGAACTTTTAACCCTCTACCCCATTTTGAAAATACTTTCATTACCAGTTACTTACTATACAGCTTTAAGTATACATGGAATTTCCCTTCTAAATTTCTATTTTATCTCCAGAATTAGTTGCTGGAGTTCCAAGAGGAGCACAGAATTTTGGATATGTGAGTACTTGACAATGCCTTCTAAGATATTTCTTGTTTATGAAGAGAAATGTTTTCCCGCAATGTATGTTTAAGGCTTCAAAATTTTTCTTCAGTAATGAGTGCCTCCTATTGATTCATGCTGYTTGCTTACTAAAATAGGAAGGAAAACAAATGAGGATAACTTTGATCAGATCCACATGCAGGAGAAGCTTTATGATTTGTGGGACATAGTATAAAATGAAAATGTGGGGCAATTTTTTTTGCAAAGAACCATAATTATCAAAGATTTTTAAATTGTTAAAAATTTCAGAACAGCAACAACAAAGCGTTAAACTAAGGTTGGATCTGGTGGAGCCCAGGGCCTTGTGTGACTACATAGGCCACACACCCAGGAAGCTGACCCTGTCTGTGTGCACAATTGAGGAATGTTGTAAAGGCTTGCATTGCTACAATCAGCACTTTAATGTGTCTCATACGGTAGAAATAATAAATCAACAGTGATTTCACTAGGACATTATTTTGCTAAGATTGCTACATAGAATTGCCACAAACCACAGAGTGACTTTTATCAACATGAATATGTTCTCTCACAGTTCTGAAGGCCTAAAGTCTAATTAAGGTGTGGGCAGGGTTCTGGTCCCTCCAACAGAGCTAAAGGAGGATTCTCCTTGACCCTTCCAACTCTCAATGACTCTGGTTTTCCTGGCCTTGTGGCAACATCATTGGATTTAGGGCCTACCTAAGATAATCTCATCTTGAGATCCTTAACTAACTTCATCTTCTCAATAAGGTCACATTCTGATGTTCCAGGTAGACAGGAATATGGGATGGATACTAGGCAAGTCCATCACAACTAGTCATCATGAAATTAGGAAAAGAATATATTGAAGTTTTATAAAAATAAAAACATATATTACAAAGTCTATTTTTTAAAAATCTAGAAGGTATAATGTTTGTTGATTTGGTTTTGGGTAGACAGAATTAAAAGAACTATTTTTGCTATATTGATAGTACTTTAAAATCTATTCTTTTGGTTAAGAACCAAAGTTCTGAATTCTTAGAATAGCATAAAAACAGAAATATATTTAGACAAAAGCCTGATTAGTAAGTTATCTGACCATCAGTTTACTTGTTCTCAGTGGTTTTGAATTGAACTATTATTTCCCCACCTCCAATAAGTAAGCATGAATTTTTTTTGTCTGAAAATATTCTAGAGTTAACTACAAACAAAAGTTTATTTGGATTTTTCCTTTAGGTCATTCTCCAGGACTTTCAGTTTTGTTTTGCATATCACTAATTCTTATTACTTATTAAAGCTTATTAGTGGGGCTGAGATTGTGGCTCAGCGGTAGAGCGCTCGCCTAGCATGCGCGGGGCCCTGGGTTCAATCCTCAGCACCACATAAAAATAAATGAATGGAATAAAGGTATTGTATCCAGCTACAACTAAAAAAATAAATTTTTTTTAAAAAAGCTTATTATTCTTCACAAAAAATTAAATGATTTAAGTTGCAATTTTTTAAAAAATAATTTCTTTAGCTTTATGGCAAATGATGTGTCTATCTAATTTCTCTGATTTTAGGTGTCAATCATTAATTCTACAGATATGACCTTCATTCAGAATTTCACTGGTGAACAGGTAAAGATATTTTAATATGAAATMATAGTATCACTCAATGCCAATATACTTTAATACTTACATCATTTATTCATTCACTCAAAAAATATTTAATGAGCATCTGATATGTGTGAGAAACTGATTTGGGATACAACTGTGGAGCAGAAAGATGAACCCAGCTCTCCTGCAGCTCTGTGTGGAGTACAGCAGGATGGAAGAGTTAATTTGCAATCAAATAAAATGTTCATGATAATTTCAGATAGTGATCGATGATATAAAGAAAATAAATAGCTATATAATTATGGGGTGGTAAAGGATCTCTTAGGGTGGTCAGGGGATCCTCTGGGGGGCAACATCTAATGCATAGCTAATAGCAGCTAATTCTAAGACATTCARACATCTTACATGTCTGAGAATCACAGAAAAGTCTCTAGAATGTTTATACAAGGGAAACAGAAGTAGAAGTCAAAGATAAAGAGGGGCAGGGACTTAACCCATGAGATTTCTCAGTAACCCCCTAGTTTCAACTTATTTTTTAGTAAATTCACATTTAAATTAAGTGCATGCTTTGAAGCTGACATGAACAGCCTGTATTAAGCTCCTGTCTTTCAAGGTGACATAAAGATAAAGCCCTTTAGAATATCTCTTCCTTGAGGTGGCAAAGAGAGAATTCCATGTTCCACTTAAGATGATCTCTTAGCCACTTTATGCTGCAATTGAAAATGAGTTGACTGAGGCTATGCTAGAATGGGCCGGGGTCTTAATGAAGTGAGTAAGTAATTACTAGTAATAGGTGGCAGCACAGGTAGAGCTGGCACTGCATGTTGGGAATTAGTTGCAAATGATGAAGAGCCTCTGGGATGCCAGGTAGCTACAGGTCCTCAATAACATCAAGGAGAAAAGCTCCCACAGACAGTGTGAGGGTGTGTATGTGTGCATGTGTGTTCTTGTGTGTGTGTTGGAGCAAATGAGTTAAACACCTCTCTAAGAACCTAGTAATTCAGGACAACAGATTGCAATATTAAGAAAAGCAAGTAGGATTTCCTCTGTTTTCCGAAGATATTGTCAGGGCTCTAAGAAAGGAAGAATCCTAGAAGAGCAAGCTAGAACATGTCCTGGGATGTAGGACTCTCAGATTCTCCATGCTAGCCACTGAGCAAGGCTTGCACAGTGAGGCAGATTACCCTCCTTAAAAGAAAAACCCCCTTACCTGCTGTGGTCTTAGTATATTGCCAGTGCTGTTTAGTGTACCTGGTGGTGAGCTCTCAGTACCTCCTTCCCTTTCAGAAGACAGTGGCAACTCTGAGGTCTCATCCTATTGGTCACTGCTGATGGGCCTGGACTTCTGCTGCTCTTGTTTCCTGTAACTGGAACTCTCTCCTGAGCCTCAGTATAAATGGGATCTTGAGAGCCCTTTCCTCCCAGAGACGACCATTGCTCCTTTCCCACTGTCATTTCCTGAGGTTCTACTGTGAGTGGGTCAATTCCTGAACACAGGATGCTAAACCCTCTTGACCAAATATGGTCGAGACCACAGTTTATCTCCCACCCTGCATGTTCCTGGGTATTGTGACTGGTGAAATTTGCCACATTTCTTCAAGCACCGAATTGGGTACTGCTGTCTGAGAGGCATGTCAAGAAAATTGATTAAATGAGCTGAAAATGCTTTTGACATCTTGTTGCCAAAATGTGGGGGGTCAGTCCACCTGTTACTCTGCAGTTTTCCACAAAGCAGTTCACATCTCTCATGATACTCTTTTGGAAGTTATGGAGGAATGAGGGTGGGATGGCAGTGAAGTTGGATGGTTCTGTAAAGTTTGAACAACTACAACTAAGGGGATTTGACCAATGTGTGCTGATTGCATGTATGGTGATATCACACAGAATCCCATTAATACATGTTAATAAAGAAAAGAAACCCAAAGAGAAAATGCAGAAAGTCTACTTTAGCTAGATCTCTTTTTTCATGTTTATCATTAGAAGCATTTTAATATTGCTAAATTTAGTCCTTCTATAACTTCTCATCTTCAATACCACCTAGTTTGATCATCTTAAACCTCAGAACTTAATGCATACATGATGAAATTTCTCTGAGCAAAGGCCGCACACATCACACAAGGTTTAAGATTTGCACTGTTTATGTTTAGAATAAAGAAAAGAAAATGAGAACTGAGATCATGTGACACTTGGTAACTTTCATGTTCTTTCCCTCAGCAAAGAGATTTTGGTACCTGGTGCCTGCTTTGGTCCAAACATTGCTTAAGTAGAAGAGAGAACTAAACTGATCATTCTCTGCCTTCCATGGACATACTCTCTAGAAGTTGATTAGCTTAGCAGATGGCAGGAGGCTAAATCAATTGAAACTTCAGATGGCAGACCATGGAAACAACATTGACAAGCTGGAATGATCAGCCATATCTGAAAAGACTATATAACTCCTGAAAACCTAGATCGAACAACAAAATATCAGAGGCAAAACATGGGGAGATTATGGTACCCTACTTACACTTGTAGAAAAGATTCAGGAGCTTTCATTGAATAKGAGCTTAACATAAAATTGATACTGAGATGTAGGTTTCCCCCAAATTAAAACTGCCCTTATGCTTTAATAATATACAGGGGCCAAAGTAAAGATTGGCAATCCCACTTAACTCTTCTGTTACTATACTCATAAGAATCATCCTTTTTTTTTGTTGTTTATACATGTGGCAACTCTAAGAAAGAGGTGCTACATGGTGATCCATCTGAAAACATTTGAACATGAGACTTCATGTGGAGGCRGAATTGGATTTGTTCTGTGGGATTCAAGATTACAGAACTAGGTGGGATTAAAGACTAGAAGTTATGAAAGGTTGCATGAAGCACAGAACATTCTAATTGTTGTCTTCACAGATTGAATGGGCTGATTGTTAAGCCTAACCAGAGGAGGATGTCCAAGCAGATGTCAGGGTTATTATGGGGAATATTATTCATCGGGTCAGAGTGAGACTAAATGACTCCGGCAGTCAGTCCACATCCAAGGATTTAAGTGCAAAAATGTATCAAGATAAGATGTATCATTCAGGAGTAATTAAGAGGTGACTATAAAAATGACTTTTTTGAACACAAAATATGTCACTTTTGATTTTTTTTATTTGCAGATGGCATCTTATTTTGGTTATAGTGTTGTCGTATCGGATGTTAACAATGATGGGTAAGTTTATAAGAACCCCCCCTCAGTCTCTATATATCATGGTCATTCATAAAGATGGGATATTTTTCCTTCCTAAAGTATATCCTTTTGTACTTCCTCAAAAACATAGAGGCTCCTTTGTTTGAACTGTTTTTTCTGATTCAGGACAAGAGGATGTATCTAATAAAGAATTCTGTCATCCTATTTTATGTCTTTACTGAGATTTTCCACATCTGCCACTTCTAAAAGAGGACTATTTTATTTGGTTTTATTTTTAATTTTATGAAGTGAATAATCCTTGGCCACTCAAAATCCACATCCATTGAGGAATTTGTTCATCTGTCTCTTCACTCCTAAGAATTTTCCCCCTAGAATGTGATGCAGTCATAATACATTTGCACAAAAATGAATTTTTTCCTGCTGACATTGCTTTAGCCAACTATTAGCAATATCCATGGGGAAGATGAAATAATAATAATGTCATTTTTCTGATTAGGATAGTAATTACAGTCAAGCTTTGACCAAACAGCACTATTGCACTGTGGTTGTAGTAACATCATTACTTCAAAACTATTAAACACCCCTTTATTCACTATAAATTCATAAATCATTAAATAAGAAGATCTTTAAGATGAGATGTACTGAGTATCCACCCAATAAATACTATTGCTTGTTGTGCCACACATTGTTCTCCATGCCCAGAATACTGCACAAAGGTGAATAAATTAGACTGGCTCTCTGTTTTCAGAGAGCTCACAGTTTGGCAGAAAGGAAATATCTGAAAACTCCTATCACATTCCATGATCTGGAACAAGTTCTTTAAATAGTTTCTTTGACATTTTCCTGTGACCTTTGTACAGCTAGAAATGTATTTTCTATATTTTGTTGTGGGATATGATTAGAGATAAGTTCAGTAACTTGTATACCTTTTGGAAAATATCCCATTATTATCCTTTCATTGAACATTTATTTCTGGAGAATCTTTTATGCCCTGGTTCTGGGTGCAGAATGTAACAACTTCATGTAATTATGCTAGAGTTGGAAAAGTGGGAGCCACATGGGAAAAAATCATTCAAATACAGAGAATAATAGATGGTGATAAGAACTCTGTAGAAAAAGCCCAAAACACAAGGACTGAAAGCACCCAAGATATACTTCAGTAGGTGGGTGGATAAATAAGCTGTGATACATCCAGACAATGAGATTTTATTCAGCTCTAGAAAGAAATGAGCTATCAAGTCAGAAAATGACATGGAAGAACCCTAAATGCATATTCCTAAGTGAAATAAGTCAATGTATAGAGGCTACATGCTGTATCATTCTAATTGTATGACATTCTGGAAAAAGAGAAAACCTATGGAAACAATAAAAGATCAGTGTTTGCAAGGGGTTTGGGGGGAGGCAGGAAGGGATGCATAGGTGGGGCACAGGATTTTAAGGGTACTGAAACTATCATAAAAGATACTGTCATGTCATTATGCACTTGTTAAATCCCATAGTACGCACTACAGCAAGAGTGAACTCCATGTGAACTATGGACTGTGGTTGATAATGGTGCACGAGGGTCAGGTCATTGATGGTAACAAAGACACCACTCTGGTGGGGGATGAGGGTGGGAAAGGCTATTACAGGAGAGTGAGTAATGTGAGAACTCTGTACTTTCTGCTTAGTTTTATTCGCCTCTATAAGATAAAGTTTATGAATTAAATTTTAAAAGAAAACAGAAAGGAGTACTAGGGGACATTTTTTGTCTTTTATCTTTTTTATTTTGATTCTTTCGTGGTGCTGGGGATGCTAGGCAAGTTCTCTACCACTAAGCCACATCCCCAGCCCCATGGATGCAGTTATTTTTCTTATGCAATCATTTTTTTWAAAAAATTGATTCTTTGTAGTTGTATATAACATTAGAATTCATCTTGATAAAACCACAAAAGTGWGGAATGTAATTTGCTTTAATTGAGTCCCCAGCACTTCCTCCTTCCTCTCCCTCCTTTCTCCCACACCTCTTCTCGACTGATCTCTCTGCAATTTATTTATAGGTATTTTTACAATTAGTGTCCTGTGGATATATTTGGTGTTGAGATTCACTGTGGTATGTTCATGAATGTTCTTATGGAATTTGGTCAGATTCATTCCACTGTTCTTCCCTTATCCTGTCTCTCCCTCCTCCTCGTCAACCACCTGCTCTATTTTACTGATCCTTCCTCTAGTTTGATGCAATTCCCTCTCTCTTTTTTCCCCTCTTGTCTGTCTTTCTATCTGTCCCCTTTGCTTATTTTGGATTAACTTCCACATATCAGAGAAACCCTTCACCTTTGACTTCTGGGGACTAGGTTGTTTTACTTAACATGATGTTTTCCATTGCCATCCATTCATTGGCAAATGCCATAATTTTATTCTTTTTTATAGCTAAGTAATCTTCCGTTGTGTATATGCACCACATTTCCTTTATCCATTCTGTTGAAGAGACACCTAGGTTGGTTCCACATCTTGGCTATGGTGAATTGTGCTGCTACAAACATTGACGTGGCTACAGTTTTAAATGAAGTACATGGAAAAAACCTCAGTGATGATTACAGTGGAGACAGGACCTAAAGGAGACTTAAAAAGGAAGCCATTGATGATGTAAAGGGAGGAGTGTTCCCAGACAAATAGTAAAACAAACAAATTTCTGGAGGTGGGAGCTCCTGGCATATCTGAGGATCAGCAAAGAGGCTCAGAGAGGTAGCAAGGGGGGAGTCTGATCATAAAGGTGCAGAGGCCACTGCATTCACGACAGATTTACATAGTGCCACCCAGACTCTTCTATGAACTAGGATGAGTCTGTCTCCAACAGGGACAGTGCAACCTGTGATCCATGGAGGATTCCAAGGCAGGGAGTGGCCTGAATTTGCTTTAATTGAGTCCCCAGACTCTGCTTTTCACAGGTGGGTTCTGTCCACCTGGTCAAGTGCCATGTGCCAAGGTACATGGGACAAGATCTTGGACCCAAGCTGCAGGCTTGGAGGGAAACAGAAATGGTTACACTCTGGATATATTTTGAAAGTCTMGTTCAGTACCAGTTTTCTCCTGGAAGCAGTTTTAACTTAAAATCAAATCCCCTTAATCTCTATTTGTCTTGAGTGTGAAGAAAAAGAAAGACTCGAAGCACCAGTCAAGAATTCCAACCTGGACAGACTGTAACTGTCATGGAAGGCTGTCAATAACTTAGGAAGACAATTGTTGAGAAGAACTTGAAGTCCAAACACAGCCTGTTCTTTGGGTTTATTGAAACCACTCTACGGTGAATACAAAACATCAGCGGTGGCCTTTCAGATGTGTCTAGATATGCTTCTCTCAACAGAAGGTCCCATGACTACAGGGGCTTTTCCCTGTGAATGCTCTGTGGCATTTTATAGGGCACAGATTCATTCCATGTGTGCTTTTCCGAGGCCGCTCCTGTTTTGAATCCCTGCAAATTTTCCCAGGTTTCACAATATGCCCTGGAGGGCCCTCTTTCTTTCCTGGAAACATCCTCAATTTAGACTATAGCCAAGTTTTGTGACAATGTTTATAGTAAATATTTTTGCCATGCTAAGGACAAAAACTCATGAGAAAAGGACTTTGTTGGCTTCCTGCTGATCGAAACAACATGATAATAACAACACAGGAATTTTCAAGTGATAAATTTGTTCTTTCTTGATGTCCCTATAAAAACTGCTGTGCACATGACTTCTCTTTTTTATTAGGTAGCATATTCCAAATTCTTCAGAATGCATGAAAAAATAGGTCCATTAACTTAATGCTGCCATTCTCAAAAAGGTGAGGTAACCAAAGGTGCTAATAACTTAATGTTGCCATTCTCAAAGGTAAAGTGACCAAAGGGGGTAATAACTTGCTGTTTGTAATTACTCAGATATATCATATTTAAATTCAAGGTCCTATTAGAAATAAATTTATTTTGGAAGCAATTGCAATTGGTCAAAGAAAGATCCCAGATAAAAATATGTAGCTAAAATGAAGTCTGAGATGACAATAATGGTATSGATAGTATATACAGACTTAAGAAAATAACTGGGCCAGGTCATTGTTCAGAGTTCAGAGAAAGGACTCCTTCAAACACACACAGTTTATGGGATGGACCAGACTTTCCATTCTCCAATTGAGAAAATCAAGTATAATTGTACACGAGGCTACCTAGTGAACATCTTCCGGCAGCATTATTCCTTATCAACTATGCAACAAAAACAAGGTGCCTACAAATGCTCCAACATCTCAATATCAGGAAAAAGAAAGTGTCATTAAGTGACAAGTAAATGGGTGGAGATTTTCCCCAATATTTTTTACTACAAAAAAAAAAAAAAAAAAACCTTCCAGTATTCTGAGTAGACTAAAAAAATTTAGACCAAACAATTGTGTGCCTGCTGGCTGGGAGATGATACTGTCAAGCTTGTGATGGTTTTGAAAGTACAGTGTAAACAAACTGGCAAAATAACTTCAGTTTAGTTATCTAACRACAGCCAGAACTACAACTCTTTCAATGTAAACTTTGCTAGAAATTTCTAGACAAACTCCTTAACAACAAGTAGGGATGGTATTTTTTATCCTGTACCCAAGGAAGCAATCTGTATTATTTTGGTTTGGTTTGGTTTTTTCCTTGAGGCTTTTTAATCTTACAGTATTTATACGATTTCAGATATTCACAGAATTACAATTTAATTCATTGGACATTTATTTCCATATGCATATTGTTTCCAGCCTCTGTGAAGCCAAAAGCAGATACATTTACATAGATTCGTAGTAGTTAGTTAACTGAGARCAGTTTAGAGAAATCTGTTTGAAAGCAAGACACTTTGGGTGGCTATGGCTTTATGTTCGATTTAGTACAAGTATGATCATTTGTACAGGACATGTCATTATGATCGAATTAGGTAAAACATCTAGAAAGTTAAAACATAAAAAGGCAGTAAGTTAAACTAATTTCTACAATGTAATTTTGCATAATTCTTATATTTGTTCTTGCCTGTCATAAATCAATTAGATTGATTAGATATCAACTCTATTGTACAGTTTACTGATCTGCATTCTTTTAATGAATAACTACATTCTGAACTTAGTCATGAACTTAGCATACAAAAAGTACTACTGGAAAAAAAAAGAAAGAGAAAAAGCAAAGTTTATATATTAACTCAAACCATTAACACCAATTGACTGCTGAAAACTTGAATTCAGATTCTTCTTATTGAATATTCTCATTGGTGGGTCTGCTCATACTTTATCATAATATTTGTGCTTTGCTTTTGATTAAAGTATTGGTAATGTTCTGTATCAAATGACATGTGAAAGATGAGTCGAGTCTCACATGGTATGAGATTATCAGAGTGAACTTAGACATAAAAGTGAGACAAAAATAAAAACTGTATGAAGGCCACACTGAGTTTGACATTTCGGATAAAATGAAGTTTAAGTACACATCCTACTTTTATGAAATGCCTTTACCAAATGACTTAAATCTTGTCCAAACAACCAACATGACCCAGAGGAAATGGTACTTATCAGAACCACATCATTAATATTATTTTTGCATTACTGTTTCTTTTAGATTAAAATATATTTTAAAAATCTCCTCTCTCTCTCTATTTCTGTGTGTGTGTGTGTGTGTGTGTGTGTGTGTGTATGCGTATGTATATATCCTTTTAGAATGGTACCCAGCCTACTATACTCAACTACTTATCAGAAGTTCAACAAAAGTTATCTTTACTAATAAATATTTTAAAACTTTACACTTGAATTGGATATATTTAACAAGAGGATGTGGCAATTTTTGAAATAGCTTAATGGCAAAATAGTCTACTGCGGTGGTTTTCCAACCATTTTTTGCCTGTGGTTTATAATACATTTGATATTACAAACCAGTACACATACCTGCGCRCACACACACACAATGGAAATAAAAGTTTCACAAGACAATATTATCTTTATTATGCATGGCATTTACTCTGTCTTCTATTATTGTATGCAATTTCATTTTTTTAAATGCTGGCAGAGACCCATTATGCTGATTTCATAACCCACTAATGAGTTGCAAATCAAGGTTTTAAAATGCCAGCCTAAACAATAATATGTACCATGATTAAGTGGTATTACTAATACAATACTAAGCCCAAAACACTCTGAGGCACACTGTACCAATTAAATCCAAGACAGTTATTGTGATCAACTCTATGAGAGCATAATCACAAATTAAGAACAAATGCCTCTTTGTCTTTTTGGAGGCTAAGAACATTTTAAGACAGTTAAGTATCTGGGGAAACATATTTCTAAGAAAATAAATCAGTGCTTTCATATTACTTCTAAAATCCAAGGATTCCATGGATGTGCCAGGCCTTCACAATGATAGGTCTAATAATTTCCAGTTCTAGAATCTGATGTTCACAGTGAAGAAGGTATTGAGCCAATTGTATCAGACCTGTGTCATATTTTAACTCCCGGAGACTAATTGTATGGTTTGTTCCTTCTATACTGAATTAAAACATGGCCTTGCTAAATCTCTGCAATAGGGAACCAGCGACATTGGATCTTACTCTGAGGAAGGAGGCATCCACATCCACACCTAGGTGTGTAATAAATGCCTCTTCATGTGGACAGTGACAATGACAGAAACAGGCAACTGAGGCTCCCCCTAAGGAAAGGCCAGGCACTGGAGGAGCACAGATCCCTGCTCTCCTCTCATCTAGCAGGACAACAAGCAATGTGAGCAAACTAAAGTTCTGGGTTTACAAGTTTACAGGAAAAACTGAGTAAGAAGGACAGAGAGCTTCCCTATAGTCCCTCTTCTCCCGCTTCAGTTCCCCATTATTAACATCTTGCATGGATGTGGTCCATTCGTTACCATTGATAAATTTACATTGACATATCAACAAAGGAGCATAAAGCAAAAGTTACATAAAGATTCACTCTGTGTTATATGGGTGTTGCCAAATGCATACCAATGCACAGCCACCACTACAGTACAGACAGAATTGTTCACTGTCCTCAAAATCTTGTGCTCTTCTTGTCATCTCCATCCACTCCCCCATCCCTGGCAACCATGGCTCTTACTGGCCCATAGTTTTCCCTTTCCCTGAATGTTAGCTCTTTGGAATCATAGAGTATGTAGCCTTTTCACATTGGCCTCTTTCACTTAGTAATATATATTTTCGGTTCCTCTTTATCTTTTCATGGTTTGATAGCCCATTTTTTTTTAAATAACCCTATTCCATTGTATGATGTACCAGTTTGTTTATTCATTCACCTACTGAAGAATATCATGGTTGCTTCCGGGTTTTGGCAATTTTGATGTAAGCATATGTGTGCAGGTTTCTATGTGTACATACTTTTTCTTAAAGWTTTTTTTAATATTTATTTTTTAGTTATACGTAGACACAATATCTTTATTTTATTTTTATGTGATGCTGAGGATTGAATCAGGTGCCTCACACATGGTAGGCGAGCGCTCTACCTCTGAGCCACAAACCCAGCCCAAGCCACAAACCCAGCCCAAGCCACAACCCCAGCCCGTGTGTGGACATACTTTTTAAACTCATTTGGGCAACTATCAGGGAACACAAATGTGAGATCACATGGTAAGGCTATATTTAGCTCTGTAAGAAACCACTAGACTCCCTTCCAAAGGAGCATCTCACTTTGCATTCCCACCCACCAGCAATGAATGAGAGTTCTTATTGCTCCACATCCTTGCCAACATTTGGTGGTGTCAGCAGTTTGGACTCTAGCCATCCAAGGAGATTTGTAGTGGTATCTTATTGTTTTAATTTGCAATTCCTGATGATATATGATACTGAGCATATTTTCATATACTTGTTTGCCATCTGTATCTTCTTTGATGAGGTATCTATTCAGATCCTTTGTCCAATTTTTCTTTGTTTTTTTTTTCTTGTTCTTATTGTATATTATAGATATATACTATAAATTATAAAAATAGCAAATAGTATAATGTAGTGTTGTGTATCATAATACGATAGCTAATGTGTTTTGGGGATATATTATTCTTAGCTCACATTATTGAGTTCCAAGAATTCTTTGTATATTTTACTTTTCCAATCATATGAGTTGGAATCCTCCTAGCATGGAGCCATGACACGCCCCCCCCCCAGGGTGCTTTGACCTCATTTAGGACAACACTACCCTGTGGAAAGCTCACCTCCAGGCCCGCCTATCAGAATCTTACCTAGGGCACATGCCATCTCCTCCTGGGAGCCTTCCTTAATTCCCTCCAAGTACACAGCCTCTGCCCTGTCTGTGATTCCAACATTAACTTCRATCCCTTATACTACTTTTCCTAGCCTGCCTTGTTTACTTGTATAACTATATGGGTAACAATTTAACCTCAGTTGTAAATTAATCAGGGACCTAATTAGTTCATCTACTAGTCATCATTGTATTCTTTCAATAACTTATCATAGGATCTTCAGAGTATCTAGCAGGAACTAGCAGGAACACAGGATGCCTGTGACTTAGAATCAGAAGCAGACAGGAGACCAACACCATAGGCGAGGTGAAAATTCAGAGAGAAGGGACATAGCAGTGTTGGTGTCTTTCAGACGACTCAGATCTGCAAGCAGGTTCTGGCTATCAGTAACCGCCCTCAGTTCATCCTTGACCTTAACTATTAATGAGTTTTAAAATATACAGCATATATATGATTTACATTCTATGCTAATATGAATATGCATTTATATTAATATATAGCAATAAGTTATACTTTTAGTAATATGCTATATATGGCATTAATGTACTTGCTGTGTTAATGATATGATACTAGTAGTAATATATTAATGATACCAAATTAAATTATAATAATATTTTAGCAATTATGTTACTTGTCAAACTCCAGCATTACCTAACCTACATATACTTAAACATTAAATGCAGGTTTGTATTTATTTGTGTTAAGCGACCTTTTACGTCATTGCATTTTCCAGGATAGGGCTGCCTTCAGGCAAACTTTAGTCATTAGTAGAGGTCAAATTGTGTATTATATTTGGTGTGACATTTAAAAATTTTTTARTTTGTTCTTTTTAGATACATGTGGCAGTAGAGTGTATTTTGACATATTATACATACACGAGGTATAACTTATTCTAATTAGGATCTCATTCTTGTGGTTGCCTGTTTTCATATATAAATACACCACCAGTGAAACACAAGATCATATACACAGAATGGTGTGGCTTTTTAATTTTTTTAAAGAATTTCATTTTTAATTTTTTTTATTTGTAAAATAAAAATTAACTAACTAGGAAGGCTCATGGCAAAAAAAAATTAAAGTTTTCTGTTCTATACTTCTCTGTGAAAGAAACACCTTTAAGCACTGCWGTTTTTTATTCTCCTGATGGTTATGTCTTCATCTCGAAATCATCTGTTAGGTGCGGTTTCTTGAATTTTTAAAACCTTTAAAGTCATCAATTTGTTTCCTGCTATAATTGACATGTAAAAAGAATAACTATAAATTTTCATCTGAGACGGAAAGTTCTTCTGGTTTTCTAGCCAGCACTATTCACTTCTCTGGACTCTTTTATTTATTTAGAAGTAGCAAAAGGAAAAGGAAAGATACATTTATTTTAGACCTTATTTACTGCACAAAATATGCATAATTTGGTCTATAGCTGTATAAATTGTAGACAAACTCTAATCTCCTTCTAGAAAAATAACTCCTTAGGTGTTTTTGATATGTTTTCCTCATGTAACTACAGCTTATGGAAAATCTGTGGTTTTCTTAAAGTAGTCATTTTCCACGTAGTGAAAAGGTTCCAGGTGATAATTTAACAATTCTTATTTTCTAACAGCATTCTATTTCAAAGATATAACAAAGCAGTGAAAGAAATACAATGGGTGTAAATTGACCCTCGGAAAAGGAAAAATATCAACGAAAATGTACAAATTTAGCCTATTGTGAGTATACCAAAAAGCAATCTTCTGCCTTCCAGGTTGCTGACTGCTCTCTTTGTTCCCTACAGGATGGATGACATATTGATTGGGGCACCCCTCTTTATGGAACGTGAATTTGAGAGTAACCCTAGAGAAGTAGGGCAAGTCTACCTGTATTTGCAAGTGAGTGCCCTCCTCTTCCAAGACCCACAGGTCCTCACAGGCACTGAGATTTTTGGAAGATTTGGAAGTGCTATTGCACACTTAGGGGACCTGAACCAGGATGGATACAATGGTAATTCAAATGAATGCATGGAAGTTATTTATGTCATAATTTCATGTTACTGCTGCATGAAGGAAACAATGGGCATTTTAAAGTATACATGTGGTGTAGGCGGTATAGTTATTATTGTTGGTTTTTAATAAATTATTAAAATCTCAAGACAACTTTAAATTTTTATGTTTTGACTAATGTAGATGTTACATGGAAATTTTCTCATGTTCAATTTAGGAAGTCCCACAATAACTTTCATTAGTGACTTGAGAATCTTCTATATGTAAAAGASTCAAGACAAATAGATACATATTGATATATTAGCAAGTATATTGTCTTCTGACTAACCTATATGGATTACATATAGTTTTTGCTGAAATAGTGATTGGTCCAGAAACTCCATAATTTTAAAGGCATTTTCAATGTTTGCAGTAAAGTAGTGCTAAATTCCTAAGTATAGGGTTGGAGTTCTTTAGGTTGGAAAGTCAACCTAAAGAGAARTACCCTCTTCTCAGAAAAATATGCAAGTTCACACAAAATTTTATAGACATTTTCAATTAAGAACCAAGGTAGAATGAATTTCTAGATCAAAGCTGAGAATATAACAGAAACTTGCTATACAAAATAATCTTGGAAGTATTCACATCAGGTCAGAATTCATTTGTACTTTTGACAAGTGTTATTGAACTCATGCTTTCTTTGAAAATACAATTTTAGTAGAGTACAGTGGTGCACACCTCTGACTCCACTACTTGGGAGGCTGAGGCAGGAGGATCACAAGTTCAAAGCCAGTGTCAACAACTTAGTGAGACCCTATCCTCAAAAAAGAAAAAATTAAATTAAAAGGGCTGGTGGTATAGGTCAATGATAGAGCACCCCTGGATTCAATCCCCAGTACCATAAATGAAAAGAGTATTTCTGGGCCATGTGTGTTTAGTAATTTTTTAAAAATATATATTTTTAGTTGTAGATGAASATAATACATTTATTTATTTATTTTTTGTGGTGCCGATAAATTGAACCTAGTAGCTTCCAAATGCTCTACCACTGAGCTACAATCCCAGCCCTAGTAATTTTTAAAGTACCAGAAAACATACTAAAAGCTTATGATTGCACGAATTGACAAAAGAAAAGTTCCCTTTTAAGTGACTTACTGCTGCTCACAGTACGTTATTTCCTATTAAGTGAAATAATAATGTACAATCATCTATGAGTGGTTGTATTCATATTTTTTTCTCTTAAACCCTTTATGATACTTTTAGGAGCTAAAAGAAGCATTTTTAACCCCATCAAAAGGGTCTTAGCCTCTGAGCCTTGGTATCAGGAGTCCTGAGTAGGTAAAATAATGCCACTCTTCCTGAGCTTAACGGAGGGGACAGAAATCAAGTCACTGACTCMGAGGAAGAGAAGGAAGAGTGCCTTCACCCTACCCCACTACCATGTCCCTTCTAAGAGATCTGAATTCTGAGATCATTTATCTTGACCTGCTGAATAAAAGCAGACTTACAATCCTCATGAATGTAATTGAAACCGAGTCCTAGTTCATTCCGTATCCTCTTTGACCTAGGAACAAAGAGAAATGAAGGAACGTTACAAACAAGGGACACCACCATGGTCCACTGCCATGGCCTCTTATGTTACTATGTTTGGGGTATTCTTTTTCAAGTACAACTATGTATTTATACTTATGGCTCAGGAAAAACCTGCAAAACAATGAGGCAGGTAAACTATACGTGAGTGGGAGTCAGGTACTCTCTAGGTTTCCCAATGTCCTCGACTATTAAATGGGTCTTGCCTAGCTCATAGGACTGGGTAACCATTTAACAGTTTCATCTTTAAACACAAGGGGCTGGCTTTCTCTCTCTCTCTCTCTCTCTCTCTCTTTCTCTCTCTCTCTCTTTCTTTCTTTCTTTTCTTTCCTTTTCTTTACTTTTCAAAAGAAACAACTCTTAAGTACTCACAAAGGTGCTTCATCTGGTCCACCTGCCCTGTGATCTGTGATCTGACCTGGTTTCCCCCTTCCCTACCAWGCTCCCCCATAGCTCATCCTTGGGCAGGTGACTTCACTTGGAGTGCTCTTCCCTCTAAGGTTCATRTGGTTGGTTACTCCTTGTCCCTAGGCTTCAGTTTCTCTGCCAGACACGGCAATGCCATCTCTGGTCACCTAATCTAAAACAACACTCCCACCACTTCCAATTATATCAACATTAAGATTCTCTACACAGCATTCATCACTTTTGATATTTTTTGATTATGTCTCCATTCAAATTGTCTGTTACCTGCACCAGAGCATACATTTTTTTTTTCTGAACACAGGCAGAGACTGAGTGTCCCACTCACTGTTGTACCCACTGCACCCAACATGTAATAAATAAATACTTGTCAGTAAATACTTGTCAGATGGATAAAAGGCAACAGATAATTTTTCTGTTGCTGCAATACTACTGAATCCTCCTGAAAAATGTAATAAACCCTTTGGATTTCAAAATATTGCTCTTTTTTTTTAAAAAAAAACATTCTTCTTTATTTCAAAGTATGTTTCTATGTCTCTATTTGTAGACATCGCCATTGGTGTGCCCTTTGCAGGCAAGGATCAAAGAGGCCAAGTGCTCATTTACAATGGGAATGAGAATGGCTTGAACACCAGAGCGTCCCAGATTCTGCAAGGAGCGTGGGCCTCCCAGACCATCCCTTCCGGATTTGGCTTTTCTTTAAGAGGAGATTCAGACATAGACAAGAATGATTACCCAGGTAAGGTTTTCTTCCTTTTCCCATGTGAGAGTCTGCTTCCTGGCAAGAGTCCATTCTCTGGAGAGTGGATCATGTGTAAGCAGTTCTCTCATAAAGACGAAGGTCGAGCTTAAACACTTTCATAAGAATTTGAAGGAAAAATAAAACAAACTTTCCCTTTCCAGGCAAGASACAACATTATAGAGGCAAGATAGTTTAAAAAGCTGCAGTCAACGTAAAGCTTATCAACTTTGCAGCCCCAGTTTTCACTGAAACCCTGCAGTAATTTTGTCTCTGTTGACAAACACAGTGTACAGCAGATACCTTTCTAGAATAATTTATTTTAACCCAGTAATTCCCATTTATGCTCACAGTTCCAATTAATCAATAGATGAGCCTCAACATTTTTCTGTCATAAGACTCATGTTTTTAGAGCATAAATATTTTCCAGCCACATTTTAGAGCTTTCCAAAGATAGAATATTTTAAGGAAAAAAAAAAACAAAAAAAGTGGTTTGTGATGGGAATCATAAACTCTTCTTGATTACCTAATTCAAATTGAAATTCATAAAGTGCTGATAGATAATTCATGTTCTATGCATTCCACATCAAAATAGGGGTTTGTCTTCAAGGATTATTTCAGTAATCAGAACTTTTAGTAAAGAACAAAAGGCTCCTTGGTTTTATGGTTCACTTTTTATTTTTATGTTGGTTATTTTTAAATGGTTTCAATAAATGCTGAGAAATCATTAATAGCTAACTGACAGCTTCAGCTATTTATTGAAACCTTGTCTCTTCCCACCAGCGCCTCCCSTAATTGGGAATTTTCCATATGTTTCCATATATTTTCCAGGGTTTTCTCTGGTTTGGGGCAAGAGTCCAATAAGCTGACTGCCTAAATATACATCATTAATTTTAATATGTTGGCTTTCTCTTCTCCTCTGGGATTAGGCAAAAAGGATAACATTACACATTTTTATAAATTTGCCAGAAACCTTTCACAACACCAACAGAGATGTTGTAGTGGGCTCAAAGAGGATTTGCTATTATGTCGTATACTAGTGCTTTCTACCTGTGGTAATGTCAAGAACATTTAGTTATTTTCCTAGGTCATGATATATTAGTATAGTCAATGATGTTTAGTTTTACTTTTTAGGGGGTGAGGGTGGGAAAGGGGATCTCCTGCATAATGTATTCTAATTTTAAATAATTCAAAAATCTAGATCCCTTATGTTATTCCTACCCAACATATGTCACAGTGATTAATGAAATTCAACTCCTGGGTTGCGATTTAGGTGAACAGTTAATTTAGAAAGTTCTTGCTATTCCTTAGGCCGGTCTTAGGTTCCTTCCCTCATTCTCAGTACCAGGGGACTTGAGAGACAGAATGGCTCTGCCTGACACCAGGCAAAGGAAGTGAAGGATGTGTTGATCAAATAGCCAGTGTGTTGCTCAAGAGAGGAGGAGGCTRGAGTCCGATGGAGACACCATTTGTGATTTCGTGTCTAATGAGGAAAAGGAGAAGGCACTTTCGAAGTTTCACTTTGGCTTGGTGTGAAGAGGGGTTGGCAGTGAGTGGCACCAGTATAGTTCACAGTGACCTGGATCCCAGGAGTGGTAGTGCAGATGTGGAGAAGTAAATGGTTGAAGAGCTTGTTGGGACATGGAATCAACAGGATTGGGTGACAACTGTTCATGGGGGACGGATGAAGGAGAGGGAGGCTTTTATAATGACTTCCAGTTTTCTGGCTTTGGTGACTAGCTGGYTGGTGGTGCCATTTGTTGAAACAGAAAATACGAAGGAAGACCAGAAATGTGGAGAAAATAATGATTTTTAAACATTGTGAGTCTGGGATAACTTGGCCCACCCATGGGACAGGTGGGATGCCCCAAGCAGTGGGAGGCATGGGTCTCGGCCAGAACTCCAGGTGCTGAGGGAGTGGAGGCTGAAGTGGTATCTGTGCTTGATGCCAGTTAGGAATAATTCAGATTCAGCAAGATTTCTCTGTCAGTGAGTTACCCTCTGGAGTCCTTGCTCAAAGCTTCTTGACCCCTCTGAACATGCTCAGTGTTAGTTTTTCTCAGTTCCACCAATTACATGTTCAAGACATGAAGGATGAATCTTCACACTGAACTGAGAGATAATTCTCTTTGTGTCTTGGCTCTTTTCTTGCCTTTCTCCAGGCAATCCATAGCAGGGAAGAATTTGMAAATTTATGAAATACTTAAATCTTGCAAGTGCAAGTCTTTTTTTTTTGGAACACAATAATATAGTTCTTGAAAAAAAAATCAACATGTTGCTGAATATTATGTTTGTGAATTTTAAAATATTTTATGAGGAAAATATTGTTGGCCCTTAGAAATTTTATAATCATTTGGTCTTAATTAAAATCATTACYAGAAGAGAATGTACAGGCCCTGTAGCCCTATATACAAGCATCTCCCGTTCCCCTGATTACTTCCAGAACCTGAGTTAATTCCAGGACCAGGGCTGCTGCAAATGATGTACAGGTTATGACCAGCCAAGGAGCAAGTTGGGGAAGATTCMTATTCTGGGGCATTCCTTAAGCCTGTCTTGCACTCAAGAAGGGGCAGGGGCACATTTTAAAATTCACATGCATTTTTCAAAGTCACATGTTCTCAGTGGCCCTGTTCCAGTTCTTCCATTCTAAATAGACCAGAAACAAAAATCCCAGATCTCATGACTGCGTCTGCCTGGTTACCTGCAGGATCATGAGGAAATAAATGCAAAGACAAAGAGTTTAGAAATTCTGAATTGACACAAGTCAAACCACTTGGAATCATTATGAAATGGAACACACCTAAGAGATGGTGCTTCCCAACAGTGATGACATGCAGCACAGCTCCTTTCCCCATTCTTGAGAATGAACCGGCATGTTTTCCCCATTTGAGGTACTACAGTGGTGAGCAGCCAGATAGAAACAGATTGCAGTGTTGGCCTTCTTTGTCCTCACTGTCTGGGCAGCTTGTGAAGAACCGCCTCGAATAATGCAGAGCATACCCTTTGCCCCACTCATAGATAGCACAGTACTCTACCTGTTCTTTACATAACCTGGCTGCTATTTACACGGAAAAAGAGTAGGGATGAGTGTGACGCTTTATGTTTGCTTATTGTGCATTATAGCTGTTTCATCTTATACACTGTCTAGAAATCAGTTCACCTGGTACCTGAATTAACTAAAAGCATGGACATGTAAAAAGATGTATGTCTATACATGCTAGGATGATGAGAACAGACAGCCCAGGTTTAAAATTTGACCCCATTGCTTTCTAGCTGTGTAAGAGTAATAAAATGTCTTGACCTCTCTGAATTTCAGTTTCCTTTCTATAAAATTAGATGAGTACAGGCTGGTGTCAAAATGAAAGAATTGGATTGTCACGGGATCTGTTCTGCAAGCTACATATGTTATGTCTTTTAGCAGGACCACTCAGTCTWCTTGTTTTGGGAAGGAGGAATGCCAGAGATCTCAGGAATGGAGTCAATTATATTGTTAATATTTTTTGTAATTATAGCAGTTATAACTATTGATATATTATAAGTCCAAAGCATAGTAGCACTGCATAGAAGATACATACAGGGCATATTCATTAGAATATTACCATTATCCCATCATATATATATATATATATATATATATATATATATATATATATATTTGTTTGTATGTATATGTTTTTACATAGCAGGAGAGTGGCAAGACTTCTTTCTTTTTGGAAAACATCTAACTAATATAAAAATAACCTTATTAAAGACTTCCATCAGGGAAAGGGAAACCAGATGCCTGATTTTGAATTCCCACCCAACACTGGTTCAATTGGCACTCAATGAGTTATTTGACATTTTTGAGTTTCCATGTCCGTATCTAGTATTATAGATCTAAAAAGACCTACTTTGCTTGGGCGGGGGAGAGGGGTGGGTTGCACTTTCTAAGTTGGGAGAGGATTTTTACAAAATGTCCTGAAGAGCTTAGAATAGCAAAGAAAATAAATTTGATTGCCACTCACAGAATAGAAACCACTTTACTTCCCAGTCACATTGGGCTCACATATGATTTTAAAGAACTGCACTCTAGGATATTAGAAACAAATAGCCTGGGTTTCAAATTTGACCTCACTGGTTTCTAGCTATGTAAGAGTAAGGAACRGTCTTGGCCTCTCTGAATTTCAGTTTTCTTGTATATACAAACAGACAAGAATATATTGGTGTGAAAATGGAAGGAGATAACTTTATGATATAAAATGAGATCATATATTTAAGTTACAGTGAGATTATATAGAACTTGTTTAATAAATAGCAGCTCTTCAAACAACTTTTTAAAACAAAATTGTATATCTTTTGGAGGCATTCTTTTTCCTATACGCAACTAGTTGATATTCTTTTCTTTTGCTCAAATAAGCAAACTTCCATGGTCTCCAAGTTTAATGTAAAGGACTACATTTGCTTCTTCTGCCCCAGACAATTGGGAATATGAGAGTAAGGATATATCTGTTGGGACCCTGCTGGGTGGAGAACCATTCAAAAAATTCCTGTTGCTGGACCCTCAGTAGAAGGTCCCCCATAAGATCATAAGTTTGCTACCCCAGTGTGACAAAATCCACTACTATTCCTCTTCACTCCTACCCCAAAGTGGGAGATGAGAGACCAAGTACTTCTCTCTTTCCTTACTGCTGTGCTTTATAGGGGGCCAGGGAGAGAAGATGCTCTTCCCTCTCAGCCCCTTAGCCATTGAAAAATATTTGATTACATATAAATTAGGTGGGAACTAGTGTGGTAACAATGGGAATTGAAGGAAAGGAACTAACAAAATGGTGTAAATGAAAAATAGACTGTACTGGACTTACCGGTTGTAGTGGAAAGCAGAACAGCAGAAAGTAAAAAAGAGGTGACTGTCAAAGACGACCTGGAGTTTTGAGCAGGATACCTGAGAAAAATACTGTCTCAAGGACARACATGGGGAGATTTATGGAGATTTGATTATAGAAACATGGGCAATCATTTTC